CACAATACAAATGAGAAAAGTCCAAGATTTATCAGGAAGATGGCGACAGTTATTAACTTCGGGTAGCGGCCGAAGAATTTTTGCTGAAGGGGTAAACAGCCTAGATCTATTCAAATATTGTCCCGTAGAGGGCTGCTAGTCACCCACAGAACAAAAGTCGTTGTGTATAACTTCTGAAGAGGACGAGAAGTTACAGACACACTTTTATTTTCCAAATGCATCTGTTTCCGACTTATAAAAAGTATAATTGATTGGTTAAATGTAAATATTTGATGCCAGATCGATATAGTCCAGATAGGTTTGGGGGCGAGCTGCTTTGATCCTGTTTGTCGGGGCAAGCCCTGGCTGAGAGGGATAAAGCATCATAGTAGAAAGATGGAGATACTCTATTACAAACACTTCTCCAGACGTGTATCGAATCCCCGTCTTCTGCGTACAAAACCATGAAGCCCCAAGGACACTGAAGGAGAACGAAAATAACGCAGGCAGGAAGTAAAAAAGATTGAGTAGAATCGAACCCACGTATCCTACATGCAACAACAAAGAGCCTCAAAGACGTTGGTAGAGACATGGAATGAAACAAACAGATTGTAAGAAAGAGAACTGAGTAGGGATGGAGGTCAGCATGATCGGAGAGCGAAACGTAGGAAGGCAGGAGAGAGGAGAGATTAAAAAAAGTTATTTGTGATACTGATATGGCACTGCAGTTTCGAAACATTTTACAGGTACAGAAAGTGAACGGGAAAAAAAGAAATCGTTGCATGTGGAAAAGTCTCCTTATTTCCGGCTGTGCCTCGGGTGTTAGTTCCAGCATGACGTCACTTCCTGTGAGGCGCAGACCAGTAGAACTCCCAGCTTGCCCCGTTAAACATGTCCAGCAGCTTCTCCAGTGTTCTATCGCTTGTTCACGTAGTCATGTGAGCATAGGGGCAGGAAATAAACAAGGCTTGGAGAATACTTCCTAACAGCCCTAGCGAGTAACGTTGAGAAAATATGATACAATCTGTGAAATTAAGGTGGTGTGGGATATATACAACCTTTGTCGGTTTTTATCTTGAAGTCGAAACTATTCCTTTGGCTATATTTTGCTAATTTCCGCTCTGTATCGCAAACGTTTCCTTGAAATCAAAATGAACTGAGACAAAAAAACATATACGGGCTTACTTCTGCTCTCATCACACGCAATAATTACAGGTGAAAATGTTAAAAAACATGAAGTTCTAGCGTTTTTACATTGAGGATGTGAAGCTTGTGATTGTGAAGCTTGTGATTGTGAAGCTTGTGATTGTGAAGCTTGTGATTAGATATCTATTCCAGGGAGGGTTTTTTTTTTGTTTGTTTCATTTTGCATGGTGGTTCCCAAATGTTGTCTTTGTATTAGGACAGGACAAGTTTGGGCAGAACTGCGACGAGCGTATGCAGCCATCTTTCCAGCGTTTTGCTCCGCCTTGATGCATTTCGTAATCAGCCGGGCGATCTAGTAAAGAGAAGTAGTTACGACTTCACCCTTAAACAAACTATGTTAACGAAGCCACCCCAGGCGGTCTATCGTGACGCCCACGGAGAAAGGGGATATTATTTGTATTATCTTTTAAAGCCATAACAGCGCGTTCTACTTATTTGAAGTCAATAAGGTGACGTCGGCTCCTAGCTGAAGAGCTTGCTCATTGTTCCGTGTTTCCGGCAGATTAACGAGACAAAGATGGTTCTTATCAGAGTGACGGGTACAATTAAAGTTAAAGGAAAAAAAAGAAAGACTGCAACAAAACCAAACACACGACAAAAAACAACAACAATCAGAAACAACAACTACAAACAACCCCACAAACAAAAAACCCAAAGCTAAAGTCGAGAAAATATTCCAACAATTAAACCATAATTTTGAGATGAAATGGTTGACTTTGGGTCTTCGTCTTTTGCATTAAATTTTGATTGCGTGTTTTTTTTTTAAAAGTGTTTGCGTATGCACATGTATGTGTGTTTTTACAAGTAGGATTTTATGTGTAAGTAAAAGTATAGACAATGATACGTTATCAGCGAAGTAGTTGTGCTCCGTTTTGATGAGAGAAACCACTACATAACACAAGAACCAGCGCGGGTATAACGTACATTGAGCTACCAACAAAATACCATTCTGTGAAGATGGTAAAAAACAGAGCCTTATGTTGTTTCGGATTCAGAGAGCTCGGCCAAGAGATAAGACTGAAATCTGGGGAAGTAAGAAAGAAAGATGAATTTAACTTTTATTCTCCCCCCCCCCCCCTCTCATTTTCAGTCCATCCAAATCAACAAAACCAGGATCACTTAGTAGGTTGGCTCCTCTAAACGGCCAGTTGAAAGTCAACCCTGAATCCGTGGGATGCTAACTAACACATCAAGTAGGAGCGACGGAGATTGATAAAACAGCACTATAAGGGATTCGAACTCGTGCCTTCTTCATAAAGCAAAACATTGAACAATAAATTTATCGACGACAGTGGCAGCTTTTTTTACTCTATAAAAATAAGAGAAAAAAAGAGAGACAGAAGACAATAATGTTATAATATGTGTACGTTATTGGGGAACAGTTTGCCAACTGGTCTTCGAATTTTTACTTACTCTTATGACGGGAAGCGAGTAGTTCACATGACCTAGATTCAGCCCCAGATTACCCCACCAACGCATGGCTCTGGCAGCACGTGCGACCACTTGAACCACTCACACATCGTCACCTGCTGGCGACTGCCCTCGGGGCACGTGTGCACGTTCAAAACCACTCGTGGATGTGCTGCAACCCACATGAAATGAGAAGAGGCAAAGTGCATTGGCAATTTTTGTTGCTTTTTTCAGGGTTCTTTATTGGAGTTCTGTTTAGTTTTAGTAAGAGTTTATTATTATTATTATAGTAGAGGGTTTTACGGCGCTCGCAACTGCGTAAGGTCATATGAGCGCCAAGGGGTGGGTGTCAACAGAGAAGTCTTTACAAGGAATCAGACTTACTCTGCTTACCTCTCTAGCTTCAACAGCACAAGGTCTGCTTCAACTACAATGTATCAAGGCACCCCGGAAATAGCAGGTCACAAGAGAGTGACAAACATTAGTAAGAGTTTTACGGCACTTACAACACAATAAGGTCGTATACGTGCCGACGATTAAAAGTTAATAGTAGTTTTAGTAAGGTATTTAGGCGCTCGCAACTGCTTAAGGACATATGAGCGCTAAGGAGTTAATGTCAACAGAGACGTCCAAACGGGGAATCAGGCTTAAACTCTGCTCACCTCTTTAGCCTCAACAGCACAAAAGTCTGTTTCGACTATCAAGGCACCCCGGAAATAGCAGTTCACAAGAAAGTGACAAACATACAAAAGAAGTTGAGGAAAATGATTGTAGTAAGGATGAGGAAAGAAAAAGCAGCAGTGTTGTAAGCGAGTAACAAATACAAAAAAGGAGAGATAAGGATGATAGAGATGTTTGATAGGAAAGGAGAAACCCACAACAGAGTACCCGCCAACCACTCATTTAAAAAAAATTCAACTAACATGCCAGTAACGGTTGGGAAACTCATTCCTTCGTTATGATTAAGGCTTAACAAAGAAATTGGTTTGCCTACAGAGGTTGGGACGCCGAATTCGAACCTCGGACATCCGCACGGCAGACTAAGTTGTAACGTACTTCTACACAGCAGTCAGTGGGCCCCCTACGGTTTGGTGGTTCAAATGGTACGTGAGCGTAATTCATCGAAAGTTTCCCACAAGAGGTGCGCATGTATCATATCTACTTTATTAAGGACACCGTTCAAATTAAAAGACAAATTTGAAACTCGGCGATGCATACCATGAATATTATTTTACTTACTGCGACCTGAATGACTTTGTTTGCTGCATTCTAATGTGGTTATGTCAAGGAGCCAACTCGACTGTGGCTGCTGACCGCTTTAAAAAAAAGTATTTACAATTTACACACTCATCGATAACGAAGCGGCTAGCCGTACTTAGATCTAGGTTTGGCCCTATTGACTCAAACTTGTTAAGTACACAGGTCTCATTAGATCTAGATCTAGTAATTATTCAGGTTAAAATACATGCAAGTCAGTAAGGCACCTTTTGGTTTTGTCTGAAATACAATACTTGAGGCATTGCAAACTAAAAATTTCATTTACAATTCAACCATCAATATTAAGTACGGCTAGCCTGACAGTCTAGCTAGCCTGGCTGTCTACCCGTACTTAAGTACAGCTAGACTTCTAGCCGTACTTATCTTAGGCCTTATTAACATTAGAAAACAGGAGGTTTAAAATACATGTACTGTCATTAAGGCACCTGGTTTCGTCTCAAATACAAATACTTTAGGTACTGCAAACAAAAAAATTATATTTACAATTCAGTAGGCCTTTTTAAAAAAAATGGTCAGTCTAGCCATTGTATTAGAAATAAGTACGGCTAGCTTCTTCCCATCGATAAATTTAGATTCTTTAGGACGTGGGCTTCGATCATGTCTGTTAGGGCCAAACCAGGCTGAGAAGGATACAACATCCCAGCAGAAAGACTGCGAGACGCTCGACCAAATTACCCCCCCCCCTCTCGGGAAATCGAACTTGGGTTTCCTGTTTGTGACTGCCGAGTACTTAACTTCTACACCACAGACGCAGTTTCTGCTGACCGTAGCCAAATTGACGTTATCTGGCAACTGAGAGGATAATGTACTGAAATTCAACAATCGGCTTACACACATTATCTCAAATGTGCTAAAATTAACGAAAATGTGCTCATTGCAACGCTGTAAGTTTATTTAAGAGGCAGGACCTCGAACTTAAACACCCCTCTCCGATAGGACCAAGCCAAATAGGAAAATTCGAGTAAAGTGTCTTTCCCCAAGGACACAACATCAGATCAAGAGTTGAGACTTGAACCCTTGAACTTGAACCTACAATCTCATGATTTTGAGTCCAGTAGTCTAACCATTAGAGTACCTATGCCACCATAAACACAACACACACACAAAAAAAGAAAGAAACGAATAAATAGTGTACAAAGTAAATCTTCCTTTTAATCAAATTTTTAAGCAAATTATTAAGAGTAATATTAGTCGTTAACACATCAAAGATATCTTTATAACTGACGAAAAAAAACCCCAAGCCTAGAAAGCAAAACATTAATGGACTAGTTAATAACGACGGGAGGGGAAAAAATATCTTAAGGGTCTACCGCTGTTATCAAGCATGCACACACAAGCAACTTATATCTACTCTTTGAAAGGGCAAAAAGTTAAAACCTTGAATCTTTTTGTATGGAGACAACAATTGTAAACTCTTTCACAAACATTCATTTTTCAGGACACATTTTCCATTCAAGGTAAAATTCTTATTTTACAACCAAATACTTACTACTCTGAAAAAAATAAAATAGAATAGAAACTATACAAACGGAAAGAAATCAAGAGACACACAGGGAAAAAAAGAGGGTACCATAGTGAAAACAATTCTATACACTATCCTGTCAATGAAATACATGTGCTACCTGTGAAGAAGTAACAGTGAAGAAGCAGTCTTCTAAAGGAATAAGATTATAGACGAAAAATCAAGAATGATGAACTCTTCATCTAAATTTACACTGGAAAGCACCAACGAAACTGTCGTTTACAGAATCTTTCAATTTCAAAATCAGCCCATCATCGCTACTCAACATCTGAAAATAAAAAAACTCACTCGATAAAAGAAAGAAACATCCAGACTTTTTGTCACTGATATAGTAAGTTGTTTTGAGAAAGATAAAAAATCACCCCCCAAAAAACAAAACAAAACTAATGTTTTGAAAGAAAACAGACTGGTGGCTTTAACTGTATGAGCTGAAACTGTAACCCGTTAGTACACAGAACTACCTCCCTCATTGGGACTTATCCTGGAAACACACACACATATATATATAAATTTATATATATATATATATATTATGTTCAGAACAAAAAAAATTGAAAGGAAATAACAAAACAAAAAAACCCCCAGAACCAAAGTGTCTGTACAAACATACAGAAAATGTAACACATCTCACTGGCACGTCACTATAGGGACAAAAAGTCAGTAATCTCAAAAGTTGTTGAAAGACAAAAAAAAAAAAAAAAAAGAAAAAAAGTTTACTTCCTTCTTATAAATAGTTCCCAAACCCTAAGAGAAAGTCTGAATATACAAACAAAACAACTCTGAGACAGGATCCTGAAAATTCCAGAGGGGACAACACCCGACAGAAAAATAAAACGGCGCGAGAAGATCCACCACAATACAAAGAATTTCTCTCTCACGAGGAGCCTGTTTTCACGGGGTCAACACCCATACTTCACTTGGATGAACACAAGGAGATTAATAGCAAAACTATGGAAGACTTAAAGCATTCATTTCTTGCAGAAACTACATCCTCATGGCATTTGCTGGGCACATTTTTCAAAAACCAAGAATCTGTGGCGTAATCTCCTTGCCAGCTGGATGTATATTTTCAGCTTGACCTACAGCTCTTGCTATGTGATTTGTACAATCTCAAAAGTGACTGTTTCAGGCATGAAATATTATTAAACCAGAATATATTCAAGGTACGCAGCTGTACGTTCCGATAGAAAGTATTCCAAAATTCCCAGGTCTTGGAGCCTTTATTTGAACAGCAGCCTTGACATATATATATGTGCACACGTGAACACAAATTATATAGAAACAGAAGATACAAACAACTGTTATACTGCAACAAAATGGAACGATATTATTAAATAATTAAAACTAAAAAACCCCAAACCCAAATTGGCAATAACACCAAACATGTCTTCTTACAATACTATTGAGTCTTAGTATCTCGTTTGATTTTTAGGTAAGCACGTTCATATGGCAAAAGTAATTCTTGAAAAAAAGCAACATACATACTAATGAATGGTGCAGAAAAAAAAAAGCCAGCATCATAGTTGAGCTTGTAGATAACAGGTGTATATCAAACACACACACGCACCCAGATACAAATGTCAAACTCTTTAGTTCCAGAAAAAACATTTTGTACAATTCACATTACTTTCACACACATACACACAGATTCTTGTACACTGGAGGAAAAAAACAAACCCATTCCGTTACTCTGAATTGTGAATGAAGGGGGGAAAAAAGAAGGAAAATTGAACATGACCAACACATTATGTGGTGTCTTGTCACAAGCATTATCATCATACAATATAGTAAGAGTCAGCATAAAGAATTTACAGTCCCTGTCCATCACCTCACAAAGACAAAACAATTCGTTTCCACTTATCGTGCAGTCAGCATGACCACAGTTTGCATCAGAATGAGAAAGTCGTGAACCAGTCACAAATTCAGGCCCACCGAAACCCCAAGGGGAGACCACCACAACAAATTTTTGACAGAGCTCGTCTCAGATTACAATGGCAAATATACAAAAAGTCGACGGGAAACACAAGGTCCAAAACCAACTCTGTTGGAAACTTCCTTTCACACACTTCATAGCCTTGAAGTAAAAAAAAACACAAAAAAACCGCTCTCAGAAAAAACCCACTCCAGACAATCTTACTGACAGTGAACCGTACACACATGTATGCTCACTGGGAAGAAGGTAACATGGTATAAAATAGGACTCGGCAACAGCAGACCAGCAGCTTTTCTTCTACGGTTGCTGCAGTAGTGGGAATGAAAATCTGTCAAGTTGACCCTTAAAAAATTCTTCCAAAGCATGCAACTTAATCTCTCAAAATTTCCCAGAAGAAAATCTGTCACAAAAGTAAAGCACACGTTGAGCTGCTTTCAAACAAAGTCAAAATTACACCTAGGCAGAAACAGTGCAGTAAAATGTGAATACATGTATCTGACCTTTACAAACACATCAAGAATAGTAATTTAAGGAATTTGTACATCACATATCTGTACACTGTATAGGAACTGCACCGACACATCAGAGTTCATCAGATAGTCTACAAGGAAGGAAACTGAAGCAGACGCAAAACGTTCAAAACAGGTGCTTTAAACCCAAGTACCCAAAAACAAAATTTGCGATGTATCTATGCACCCCCCCCCCCCAAACACTGTCAAGAAATAGATTCCAGACAATATTATTTTCACATCTTCCCCAAACCACTATAATATTTGAGTACACATTAACTGAACATGGTCAATCTGAAACCAGCGGTAAACCCAACAAAAATTAAATCGCCGATTTTTTTTCTTCTTTGTAAGAAAACTATCGATTAGCCGAAATTAAATGTTCCCATTTCTAAATCGAAAAGAACTGTGAGGGTTATATTGTCTAAATCTTAACTAACGACCCTCAAGTAATGCAAATCATCATGTCTTACGAGTTCTAAGAAAGCGAAACAGAAGAAAAATATATGACAACGCAGGTGTGTCAATCGCGGGCCAGAGAGAGGCATCGCCAGTGTACTTTTCGCTGCAAGCATGGCATTCCCAACTCTACGTTGTTGACAATAATCGCTATCTCAGCCACCTCTGTACACTGAAAACCTGGCTAAACCGAAGAAAATCCAGCGGTCCCGGAGATTTCAGTTTCAGCCCATTCCACTGTATTTCAAAGTATCAACACTGCTTTGTTCATGCTGTCATCTGAATCTAAATTTTGCTTGTAGCAGAAATCTATTCAATTACTACAACCTCACAATTTTTTGGTGCAATTTTCCAAGCCCAGAGTCAGCCCCGAAGCTTCAAGCAAATACAAATATTTCACAAAATGGGTGTCTCTGCAGATATACGAACGGCCATTGCCACCGGAGCTCCAGCTTTTTACAACACGACAAAAAGCAGGTGCCTCACCAAGCACGAGGCACTGAGTGGAAGTTGATACAACATCCATCAACAGACAGGTAACATTGTCAAAACTTTGTATAAAATAAATGGGGAGGAGGCTGTCAGCAATGTGTGTCACATAACTGGAATATTCATACATATTTTTCAATTCTGTTTGCTTTACTTGAAACTTAAAGAGGCAAACAAGATACATGCTATGAAGTATGCAAATTGTTGTTTCTGACTTGTGTAGGAAGGATCAAAATGAGCCGCATTATTGTCTGTGATCTGCTGCTGATCAGACATATTATGTGTCCACTATGCCCTTAACGAGGTAACACCCACCACAAGGCTATCTCTGAACTGACCATACAGTTTCATTTTTAGTAGAAAGCACAAGACAACACTTTCATTCAAGCTGGAAGTCCTTTATGCATGTCCGAGGAAGCAACATATACTGACTTCCAACAAAAAGCATAAAATTGAAGAGGCCAAAAAACGCAAACAGTAGAAATGGAGCACTCTGTTGTTGAGTCAGGAAAAGAACTTTCTGCAAGAAGCAAAAGCTTTCCACTCTTGAAACTCTTTTGCGGAGACATCGAGCCAAGAACCAATAAGTTAAGGAATGTTGTTTTTGCATGCACCACACTCTCACCCTCAGGACTTTCCCAGCTCTTTGGTATTTTCTTTTCAACAGCAACGGTCCCACTTTCTTTCAACCAAATGCCCAGACTGTCTGACTGACAGCCAACAGTTTTTTCAACCCTCTACCTCAACATTCAGCACTGACTCTTTTGTTCTAACATTCCAATGAGAAACCCCCCCCCCCCCCAACCTCTTTGAGTCTAATCTTGTTGTATGCTCCAAATGACACACAAAATAAAACTGAAGAAATGTACCACTGTGTTCTCAAGGTTTTGGCTGCAACAGCAGCCAGCCCCATCCACTGAAAAAAAAAAAAAAAAAAAGGGGGGGGCGGAATGAACACATCATGAGCCATTGTAAGTTGATTTTTAAGTAAGAAAGTGTTTGGATTTTGGCTAGGCATGGAACAACATAGAATGCCTGAGTCAAATTAGCTGTCAGCTATTCCCTTGAGTAACAAATTTCCACAGTGTAGTTTAATCAGCTCCCCTCATACAAAGAAATGTCCCAAATTACACCCAGCAATGAGCTGAGGATATTGATGGTTCACCAAACTTCGTTTCGTCCACAAATAGAGATAAAAATAAAATAACCACACAGAGACCTGGACAAAGTCCATCCTTACTACTCTTACATACATCTATATGTAGTCTTAAGTTGTATTCTAAATTTTCACCATGAAGTTGCCTCACCTGGTACATTTCAAAAGATTTTCTTCCATAACACCAGTCTTCCATATTAAAATATTCTGAAACGAGAAATACCTTAAGTTTCAAGCCAACAACTAACTTTCGGGCAATCTTTACTCCCTGAACTCAAACCATAAACAGGTTAAGAAATAACAATACAGGATAAAAGCAGACTGAAAGAAAAGAAATGTAGAAACGATTTGCAAAATCTATAAACATGAAAACGTAATAAAGAAAGCTGCTTTTTTTTTTTTATATAACAAGAGAGATCAAGAGGAAGTGCAAAAATGGGGAGTATGAGACATCAGAACTACAGTTTCAAAATCTAAAGAATAAGGCACAGTGACAAGGGTACAGGTGGACTGAGATGACTATTACTATGGATATGAAAAAGCTTTCAAAGAAACCAAGATGTGCAAATATGACAACGATGAAAATCATTTGAAGCAAGAGGTCAACAAAACTCTAAACACGCTTTCATTGTCTGTCTTTGAAGCACCTCCACTCCCCAGACAGCAACCAACAAGACTTATAAGACACAAAACTCACATGAATATGAACATAATAATTCTTTTTCCTTGCACACAATGAGGTACTGGGTAAAAAAGACAGTTCCTTTATCACAAGTTGATGATCTTGATGATCTATTATAGGTGCCACACAGTGAAATATATCGAGTACATCAGAATTCACCATACCGCATAGTTTAAAACATACAGGAGAGGGAAAAAAAGAGCAGTGTCTACAAAACTGCATCATCATAATATACAACATAATTATAATATCAAATCAGCTATGGCTATGCACTGTTCAATTCATTTCACAAGGCAAATTTTTGACGTAACGAGTGGTGGCTCAATCCAGGAGGGCGCAACAAGGAGTTACCTCCATATGCCTTCATCAGTGATAGGTTCAACACATTTCCTGAATCACTTCGAACCTTTACAAGGTATCCCCTTCAGTGGTGCTCATGCTTCCACCTAAGAGACAAGACCATTACCACTGAGAAAGTGCTCCAGAGTTCAACAAAACGGATAACTGGCTCAAGTTACGACACCAGTTTAATTCTTCAGATATTTACAACTCTGCTACAGGAAGTTAAGTTGAGGCTTACATAACAACAACCCTTCCAAATCACTTCTCCACTATGACAAGAGCTAGCGTACCTATAGCCCTATATCCACAATTTCTGAAACCATCCATATTTTTTGCTAGAGAAATGTGAGAAAAACTCCAGCCTTAATGTCTCCATGACTTAGTGTGAATTATCAAAATAAAAATGCAACATATCTTGATTTGACATATTCTATTGCTAGAATAGAAACAATGCCACATCACTGTTACTCTTGCTTCTCTTTAAAAAGGCAAAAAAATCCAAACCCCAAAACAACAAGACAAGGTACACACAGTGCACAAAATGTTAAACAGTCACAAAGGGCCAGCGGGTAATGTCAGTACATGTAAATCATGGAACGCATCAGACAATCACATTTCTATGGCTTGTATCTATCACAAGTTCTACATATTATATGTGTTGGTCCTACGGGCAAGCCCTCTACTGGAAAGTCTTGGGTGGCACAACAAACTGGGAACTTGGCTGCTTCTACAAGCACTCGTGCAACATTCAGCCAGGACTACAGCTCGCTACCAACCCGGCTGTGAATGGCGCCAACCTACACTCACGCCCTAACAGCATGAGGACACACGGACAAACGAGAATTAACCCACACCCAAGAAGCATAGGTTATACAAACACACACCGCAGGACAATAAATATACAATAGCCTTGAAAGGATAGTCGGTACGTTCTTCTTATTGGGAACTCTTTCTTTTCGCTATAACCCAAAACAGCTGCAAGACCTGTACACAGAATACCACTAACAATCTCATAACATATCTAGACCGGTGTCCTTGCCTTCCAGCAAGCCTGTAACGAGAAGTATTTACAAAATAATTCTGTACTTAATAATCTTTTCCTGTAAGGTACAAGAGGAAAATCAAATACCCCCAAAATTTGAAGAAAACTGATGCAAAAAAAACAACTTTGAAAGAAATAAAATTAGGTGGTAAGTATCGCAATTTTGGCTAAGCTCATCTTTTAAAGAAACCCTGCAGCTTCTACCACAGATTTTCGTGACACGGAACCAGGACGGCTTTGACTGTCCTGAATCTGTCTCTCACACACTCCCAAACACTCACACAGGGACGCAAAAAATCTGTACAGCGCCGCAATTTATCTCATCACGCGTCCTTCTTGGCCCAGCTGTTCTGCCTTCTGGGAGTGGCCCCGCCTGCGGCCACAGGCAGCCCCTGCTGTCTTAAGGCTTCCTTCACGCCTTGCTCCGCCAGCTTGGTGTACACGTGAGACAGCATCTGGAAGAGGCAAAAGACACACAGTGCATCTTTAGTTTTAGTAAGAGTTTTACGGCACTTGCAACACAATAAGGTCATATAAGTGCCGAAGGTATGGTGTAACAAGAGTGTAACACAAAAAAGGAGGAGAGATCAAGACGAGAGACGTTTGATAGGAAAAAAGGAGCAAACCACACTAGAGGACCCGCCAACCACCCACAGACAGCATCTGGGAGAGGCACAAGACACAAACAAAACAGATCAGATACAATTATATCATCTTCAAGGTAACAAATCTTTGAAAGAACCGTAGTTTCGAAACGAGGTGATCTTATACTTTAAATCAATTTCAATAAAAAAGAAGAAAAACTTCACTAGTTTTTTCTTTAATAACCCCCCCCCCCCCCCCAAAAAAAAACAAACAAAAAAACAAACGACAAACAGACAAAACAAACTAACCACAACAACAAACAAACAAACAAACAACCAAAAAAAAAACAACCACCAACACCCCTGCCTCCACCTCCCCTATTTCTCCAGAGACAGGAAATTTACACCTCTACATTTCAAGAACACATAAGGAGAGCAGCACACCATGTGTCAAGGGTATAAGTCATCGGAAAAACGTAATGACAGTAAAGCCTCTATACTTTTGTACACTATAACACTGTTTTGAAACACCCAGGTGAGAAGTTGACAGATATTCTTCCTCATACATCACCTATACCACAATGTTATGCAAAGGCACTATCACTTTCGTTTCAAATTCCCAGAATCTACTTTTCAGAGCTTCCAGCTGGTGACGTCATTTTCCGAGGATTTTCGGGTCCAGGGCAGCGCCCTGGCAGGGGGTTGAAGAGGGAAAGCGCTCCCCTTACGTTTGAGATTTTTTGGTTTCATCCTAAGTATGCCATTTCTGGCTATTCAAGCATAAATTCAACAAGAAAATAAGTGAGAAAAAAACATACCTTGCATACATAATTTTCTGCTTGTGTTAATGTATATAAATCCAAGGCTATGCTCTCTCCCTTGTACCGATACAGTACATCCATAAACAGTAGTAGAACAGCTAGATCTATAAAACTTGACAGTTAAGGTTCAACTTTTTTCTACTTGTGCTGGTTTGCACCACAATGTGTAGAATCTATAATAGTATAACAGCTAGATCTAAATAACTTGACAGCTTATATTCAACTTCAATATTTACAAATAAACAAGTCTGATAAAAAATATATCAAGCTCTCTTTAGAGTTTTCTTTTCTTGGGAAGCCTAAGATCTATTGAACCACATATATTTGTCCTCTTGTTTACGGTGCTGGTGCTCTCCTGCCTGTGCTTTAGAAAGTGAAAGTGGAAGTGAAAGGCACTGTCTACACTTTCAAATAAAAGAGCACTTCCGGTATTGGTTGGCTATTGTTGACTATTAGTAATTACGTACATTTTTTATTTCCCATAAAAAAATTTTTTTTCTCTTATGCACAAATTTTCAGTTCTGGAACACAAAGTATCACATGTTAAAATAATAATAATAATAAATAGCATTTGTATAGCACATATCCCCGCTCAACAGCAGGCTCTATACGCTTTACACTATATTATGACCCCAGCAGACCATAGAACACTCCAAAAAATTCTCAGCTTCCCGGGAAGCATACAGTGCAAGGAGCTGATTAAGCGCTCAAACACTAACAAACTGACAAGATCTTTCGCTGTCTTTAGCCGGGTACCCAATCCCACCTGGGTGAAGTGAGGAAAATTCGTGTAAAGTGCCTTTCCCAAGGACACAACGTCGGGCCCCTGACGGGATTCGAACCCATGACCTTACAGTTGCGAGTCAGAGAGCCTAACCACTAGGCCACTGACGCCACAAAATCAAAGTAAACTGAAAATAGCAGTGTTACAAAAGTGCTGGAATAAAAAAGTATTTCTTGAGGGTAAACACCCCTCAAAGTGCCAGGTCCTCACATTGTCCCAGAGCATGTCAGCCAGCTGGTCAATGGCCACGGAGAGGTTCCGGTGCTCGCCGCTGTAGCGCAGGTAGAACCAGGTGACCAGCAGCAGCAGGAACACCAACATCACCAGGTTGAACAGGTTGCCGATAGTCTCCAGACCAATCACTCCAACAATTCCTGAAACACATACAGGTGACGTTAGACATCATCATCATCATCATCCAGTGCCAGATCTGCGGCAGAAATCGGCGATCATGGCCCTCCATTCATTCCTTTGCTCTGATGCTCTTAAAAAAAGCTATGTTTCCCTGATCTTTCCCTGTTACCCATTTGTTTAGGTTCCTAAAGTAGGTTGCTCTGGGCCTACCCCTGCCTCATTGCCTTCAATTTTGCCACTGAGAGCTAGATATTCAAGACCCTTATGTCTATTCAGGTGTCCCAAAAACTGCATTTGCCATTTCCTGATTGTTTTTAACAGGGAAGTTACATATGCAAGGTTTTTTTTTCTCTTATAAAAGTAGGTGTTTTTATGCCCCCATCAACACAATTTAGGACCCTTTAATAAGAGTTTTACAGCACTTACAACACAAATAGGTCATACAAGCGCCCAAGTTTTGAGCTGATACTTGAGAGAAACAAATAAAAGGAAGAAGAAAGAGGAGAGATAAAAACCGTGGATGTTTGATAGATAAAAAAAAGCAGCAAACCACACCAGAGCACAACCCGCCAACCACCCACCCACCTGACATAAAGTAGAAGGCTACGACCACTGTGAAGAGCACCGCCGGCGTCCTCGCTGCGCTGAAGATGTTCTTGGACTCATTGTGCTTGGAGAAGTTCTCAAAAGCTTCCGTAATGTCCTCCTTCAGCTTGTCCTCGAAGGACTGGCTGAACTCTGGCCCGCCCATCTTGCGTGTGTTGTGGAAGAGATCGATGCAGCGCTCCACGCAGCGCGTGTGCTCCACGTGCAACGCCTCTGGATTCAGGTACGGCTTCTCTCCGCCACAGATCTGAAGAGACAGTGAACAGAAAAAAAAATTATTTAAAAATAATAAAAAAATTGCGTAAATACCGCTTCACTTTCGACACAATTATTCTAGGTTAAGGCTGACAATAGCCTGAAAATACGTCAAGAGTGGAATCCTAGTTCTCGTGATAACAACCATAATCTAGGAACTGCTAAGAACCTTTGTAGTGCTGGTTTAAAAAAAACAAAAAAACAACAAAATACAACAATCCCCAAAACAAACCAAAAACAGGAGCTGACCATACAATAAAACATTAATCATCCACTCCCATTAGAGGATGGGTAAACCATTTATGATAGGCCTTTCCTAGACTTACAACAATCTACTTTGACCTCTATTTAAATTAAGGTTTTTACTAAAGGGAGAATCATTCTGACCCCGAAAATATCCGAGTCACAGAGAACCAGCTGTGCTATGCATCCTGTCAGAAGTGGACGTGTCGGGGTTTGTTTTGTTTTTTTTAAAGTAGAGGATTTTACGGCGCTCGCAACTGTAAAAGGTCATATGAGCGCCAAGGGGTGGGTGTCAACAGAGAAGTCTTTACAGGGAATCAAACTTACTCTGCTCACCTCTCTAGCTTCAACAGCACAAGGTCTGCTTCGACTATCAAGGCACCACGGAAATAGCAGGTCACAAGAGTGTGACAAACATACAAAAGAAGTAGAGGAATATGAAAATAGTAAGGATTAGGAAAGAAAAAGCAGCAGTTCCCTGTTGTAGATCAGGCACAGATATGAGCGTGACATGATGAATCAGCCCATTTACAATTCTACTGTGCTTGATGGAGAAATGTCCCCCCTTTGGAAATAGCCTAAAGACACTACAGTCAGTGGCACTGCCCCAGGGGGGAGGACGTGTCCAACGCAGTCAATAACACCAACAAAGAAAAAACAAAACCCACAACATATGTTCCTGATGCATTCATCAACCAGGGTCCATGACTTCTCTCTACACCTTACAGGCTGGAATTAGCTTTAGCAGTGCAACAGAACGGAGTCCAGCTACCAGGAAAAAGAAAAACAAACACACACAGACAAAGACATAGTAATGATAAAATGGTATAACCCTTCCAGCCCCAGCTATTTTTGTGCACTCCCTAACCCTAGTCCCTGCCAATACAGCAGTATTACAGAAAGAGAGGCATGCATTCTAAAAAGGGAATTAGTATCTGTGTAATGAGGTTTAGATATTAAAATATCACAATATTTAAAGGTAAATAAAACTGAGAACAGACCCTCTTGGGACAGTGGGAAGTACAAGCGCTGCTGAAAATATGCACGCATGGGACTGGAGGGTTAATGTACTGCCAATTTCATTTCCACTGGTTGTGAAAGTGCAACATTTATAGGTGTCTGTTTCTAATGTTCCTGTCACTTCCTATTTCAACCACTATTGTGTCAGTGAGCTTTTGTTCAAGCAAGCCAGAGATGTCAGTGCGATTGCCTCACTCACCTCTTCCATCAACTTTGTGTAGAGAGTTTTGGAGTTCGCCACGGCTGCCAGGTTATTTGCTTCTGCTGTTGCCTGAGGGACAAGACATCGCGATAGAGAACTTTGCATTGAAAGACGTTTTTGGCACCATTACTTACAGTGCACTATACGTGACCTTATAACTGAACTGTACCTGAAAAAGCATTCTGTTTTCAAACTAATGTACACAAAAGATTATAAAACACATGTTAAACTATTTTCACTCCTAAACCTTCTTTTTAGAAGAAAAAAAAAAGATACAGTTTGAATATGTCCCCCTGAAAAAATATGAGGAATGAATTATCGAGCAGTCAGCAATCTTTCCATTAACGTTCCCTCAGTTTTTATACATGTGAGGCATCGTAGTGAAATCAGGCGCTCGTTTAAACAATGAAATCTGTCCGTTTGGCAATTTTCATAGAATTTTTGTTTTTTGACTCAACACCATTAAAGTCCATTTAAAATCACATTACAGTGTGGACATTTCCGAAAAATGTTGATTTAAGACACAAAAAACCCCCCACCCCAATAAAAATGTAAATTTGCAGTTGTTAAGGACTCTCAAGCTTTGGGAGTCGCCAAACTTTGGCGGCCATTTTCTCGCTAATTTTACCTCTGAAACCAGGCAACCCCCACCTCCTTCAAACGCAAATATCTCCATTTCTATTCACGATAGATAAGTATTTTTTTCACCGAAAGCAAGACTAATGAGCAAGCTTTAAAATGATATAAATAACTACAGTTCCGAGTGCCTGATTCCACTCCGCTGTGACACATATACTAAATAGTACTGAGTTTAGAACAAGCGACCTAGATTATTAAAAGATTACAGATAATGACAGGTGTTGGCATATAAAAATTCATAGTTAATACTGACAGACTGCAATCAATTAGTGCATATCCCTGCTCAAAAGAAAGCTCTACACAAGTTTACATTTTCTTACGTCCGAAGCATGGACAACATTTTTTCGAGAATGAAGCTGGTCTCTGAAGTCTGGAATGTGTGACAATACACCATTCATTACTGCTTCAACAAACCATAAACCATTGTAGCACACAGACAAAATTTTTACACCATACCAGCATCCTTTTGTAAATCAATCTCAGGCAGCTTTTTTTATAGCTCACATGACTAGCTAAAGTTCTCAGACCACACAAACATACCTGCAGCATGGACTTTGGCTCTGGCAACTCCTCGCCCTGGTAGATCTTGATATATGCCTAGAGAGGTTTTCAAAAAAAACAAATCATATCTGTTTTAGTTCAGTTTTAGTACGAGTTTTACAGCATTTGCGACACAAATAGCCGAAGTCTAGAGGTATAACTAGGGGGTAACATATAATGAAAAGTAGGAGAAGAGACAAAGACGATAGATTTTTTATAGGAAAAAAGGGAACATTTATATCAATACGTCTTTATTTCTGTAAACAGATGAAGACCTAAAAACCACCACACTAAATAACAGTCAGTAACAAGACAAACCGGTATGGTATAAACCCCGAAAAAGGCGTTAAGGCCTTCTAGTATTGGGGAAAATTTATAGCTCAAGAGAGTTTAACAACATGCACATATCAAACAGAAACTGGAAGCCTATCAAAGGGTAATAATTCTGCAGCCCTTAGCTTCGACCCTCTGATCTTCATAGGTAAGAGGAAGAAGACTGTGGTAGGCAATGGAAATCCACTGCATTTGTGTTACAGAAGTACGGCGATACAGCAATGGCTAATTTCATTACACTTGAAGACCGGTATCTATTATATACTAGGCTGTCCTGATAAGTTTCTTTGTTGGCCCTTACAGCTTCTCCAAGAAGGGTAAATGGTCGCTTTTAAGAACAAGCGCGCTAACCCAGGTTTTGGGGGGTTTCCAGAAATCTTGACCTACCCTAACAGTGGACATTTCCCTACCTATAGAAGTTTCGTTTCATTGGTGTGTATATTTGTTTGGTTTTAAAGACAACTCTTTTTGTCTTTTACAGAGACTGAATAAGGATCCAAAAACTTTAACTTCAATTTTCTAAAAACAGCATTCTTCGGGATAGCCCCCTTGAGCTTAAAAGCGACCAAATGGGGTTGGCTTTGTTTCATGGCTATGGGGCTGTCAAAAAACAGTAAGCTACCCTGCTCACCTTGAAGTACTCCAGCATCTCCTTACACTGGACCTTCTGGCCATTCATTTCCTTCAGCACCACATTCTCCTTTGCCAGAAGCATGGGGGTCAGGATCTGAAGCTGCTCCAGGAAATCGTGTTCAATTTCTGCGAACATGGAAGATTGCTGTTAATACATAGGCTGAACTAATATGGAAAGGAAGAACTGAGCCTTAGTTTGCGGCAAGTTGGCAAGATAACTGCTCCATTTTGACATGGAGTAGACATGGGTAATGGACACGGGCACAAAAAATCCTTTTAGTTTTTAGTTTGAGAAGGAGTTTTACAGTACTTGGTACACAAATAGGTCATACAAGGGTCAATGATAAGACTTATCACTGTAGAGGAACAAACAAAGAAAAGAAGGAAAAGAATGAGGACCAGAGAAATGATAAGACTTATCACGGTAGAGGAACAAACAAAGAAAAGAAGGAAAAGAATGAGGACCAGAGAAATGATAAGACTTATCACTGTAGAGTAACAAACAAAGAAAAGAAGGAAAAGAATGAGGACCAGAGAATCTTTAAAAAAAATCTATATTCAAAGCCATTAAATAAACTTAACCCAGACTTTATGTCCTGAAGCTGTCACAAAATAACTGAACCACATCAATACTCTTTCCTCCTCACCCTTCTTCTACGAGGGGCAAACTAAAAGTCTTTTAATTTACCTGACCATGAAGGAATAAAGGTAGAGAGCTGAAATTTGGTACGAAGCTTAGTCTTTCTTTATGTAGTCGCCTACCAGAGTTATACATGTTTGTCATCTGTGTATGACTTTGAAAAGTCCTTGAGAATAGAGGACCTCTCTTTGTCAGAAAAACCAGCCCTCTGCCTCTTCTTTGATCAAAATTTTATCACAGCATAAGATGAGCAATCAGTTCCATATACAGCATGCATCTCCGTAAAAATATCCTGTACTTAATTACTGCCCTGTGCTCAATTTTCTCCATTTTTATGTTGAAACTGGTGAACAACATACCCCCATTCACTTACAGTGTGCTGGTGGCAAAACCAGTAATCTGAAATTCCACCAAATTTTCAAACATTCTAGGAAGATAATTGTTGGCTTTCACCCCAAATTTCAGCTTTCCACCTTTATTCCTTCATGGTCAGGTAAAAAAACCTTTTGGTACGTCCCTCGTATAGTAAAAACAGAAAGCTCACACACAGTTCAGTAATAGTTTACAGCCAGTCAGTACAACAGCAGCCACATTTCCCCTGGCACACACTAGGACAACATTAACAAAGACAAGAAGAGGAAGGAGCCAACCCAGGCTAACTGAAGCTCACAGATTGATATTCTTCGGCCAGTACTTGACATCACAGTTAAATATTTAAAGCCTTTTTAAAAAATAGTGGAATATTTATGCCTTCCAGACACATCTAATAATAATAATAATAATAAATGACATTTATATAGCGCTCAACCCCGAATAAAGTACACAGGCTCTGAGCGCTTTACAATACAGTACAACATACAACAGTAACATGAAACGTTGTGTTCTGACTAAAGAAAATTATTCCAAATATTCATCTTATTAATTTAAAAACAGAAACGACTTCAGCTGACATTTGAATGAATCAAAAGATTTGATTTCTCTCAACCTACTTGGTAAAGCATTCCAGATCTTGGGGCCTTGGTATTCAAATGCCCTTTCACCCATTGTTTTAAGTTTCATAGATGGTAAAATAAATTTCTTTTTGTCATACCTCCTGCCATCCCCCCCCCCCTAGTAAATTCGAGTTCTAGACCCCTGAGCTAACTAAACAAAAAGGACTTCAGACACAGAGACAACAATGATCCTAGTACAATATTGCAGCAAAAACAGTGGAGGAACCAAGAGAATCTGTGACGTATGCAAACAACACCCTTTTCACACACACACACAAAAAAAATCCCCCAAAACTGGTGCATTTGGAAGACAAAAATACCAACAAAAAAACTGAGCGCTAGGAAGGAAGCATCTCACCTTTGAGTCTGCCATCAAAGTAGGGGTTTGTGGCCACACGCAGACCAGGGTGAGGCAGCAGGTAGCAAGAGATCTTGTCGAAACAGGAACTGATGTGTCGCCTGATTTGCTGGAGCTCAGGGTGCTGCTTGTCCGAGACCTGAACAGAAGAAGACAGAGGTGTGAGAACAAAACAGCAACAGGAACAGGCAGAAGTTTTCTAATTCTACTTCAGCATTTTGTTCTCGGACTCTCCTTCCAGCCCCTTGCCCTATATGCTCTTGGACATCTTGCTCAGACTCACCGTTTTGGATAACAATTTATACCCAAAAGAGTTCATCTTAGCAAAACCAAAAAAAAGCGTTTTGAAAGAAAAGGAAAAGCTCATAACTACATTGGAGACAGAAATTAAGTAACGATAATCCTTATCCGTTATACATTCTTTCATCTTACCAGTAAACGTTTTTCGAGTATCTGTCGACCGCCCGCAGCTCCATAGGGGGCTTCGTACGGAAAACTCCAGTCTCGCACAAGGAACTGCAGGGCCTGGTTGGAAATAAAAAAAGATGCGCAGTTGTTAGAAATGCATAGGATCAAGCTGGAACATAAAAGGATCCTTCATTAAGGCAACAAGGAGACAGATGAAATTCAAGGAGTGTGTATACAGAAAAAAAAAGGTGGAGCAACTACGTATGACAGGAAGAATTGAAGAGAAGAGAAAACTGAGGAAGCCAACAGTCAAGATAAATATACTCAACAACAAAAGTTACTCAAGTCATAAAGCTACTTCAAGACTTGGGTGTTTAAGAACCTACATTCGACAGAACATGGGCCATGATCGTTTTTTTGTATTCAGTAATTTTGTGAGCTCATGTCACCAAGCTGAAAAATGCTCACAGTAAAAAAGGAGGTCACAATATGGCGGTGAAGAAAAAAATGAAAACTGAGTATTTTCTTGAGCATGCTAATAGGTGAGAAGACCTGACCAACGGGTTACTGACAACAACATCCGGCATGGGGTGGTCCTAGCATAATGATTGGTGGTGCAATCAGCCTAAACCAACACTTGGGACCGGTTGTTTTCCAGAACACTGGCAGGGCTTGAAATAGGTGTTCAGGAGGACAGGCAAAAATTGCCTCAATGGGGTCTAAAAATCAGAGGGCACCGAGGAAATTTGCTAGGGCACCGAGGTAAAAATTAAAGGTGATCACTTTATTGATTAAAGTTGGTAATATTGGATCGTGCATCACAACGTTTATATAAATAACAATACGATTTATTCTTGCTCTCTGCAAAAGTACAGAGTTATCGGAAAATTTGTAAAATCATGAATGAAAGCTAAGTAAATCACAGTAAAATCACATCAAACCAAAAGCACAAAAATCACAGTTTTCAATCAAATAATGATCACGATTGCATCTGACTTTTAAATGCCTTTATGACTAGCTCTTATTGATTGGATTAATATGAATGAACATGACTGTTGACAATAGGGCACGATAGAAAACAGTAAATAATAAGACCAATTAGGTAAGCCATTAATCATTAATGAGATTCAAACAGAGTGGTTTACAGGCAGGGTAGTGATAAAAACAAATCTTGGTAAAACAAAACAAATTTTGAACTTGTACGAAAAAGAAAAAAATGAGGAGTGAAAACAATTTATATTTATGAACTTGTACGGAAAAAAAGAATGTACAACTAAAAACTGCTGTCAAGCAGTTAAACAGTATGAGGTATAGAAAATACTTGTTATAAAGTATGTTATATAAAAAAGACCTAAACAATCAGCATGTCATATCATGACATGACTAGATCAGAATATTGAAATATGTTGACACACACAATATAGAAAAAAACTGGTTTACTGTTTGTCCCTTTGTAAAAAACAAGTGAATTTAAAAAGTATCACCAGAGAAGATGATTTCAGAGAATAGTGCAGTTTTATCAGGCAGGATGTCTATTTGTGAGACACATCTCTTGCCACTTGGCAATGCAGGGTTCTGGGTTGAATTCTTTGATCTCAGGACCATTGGGACATAAAAGCATATCTCAGGAAAGCGAATGCCTCCAGTTACCAATGGTGCGCCTCAACAAAGTAAACTGCCTTTCTATCTCGGCTGTTGATGATGGCAAAATAGAGATTACATGAGCCAAATGAGACATATGGGGAAATGTCCTTGTTCTTTTTTCAGGACTGAACTTTTCATGTTCTCATTCAGAGGTATTAAGTCCTGACTTTTGGAGAGAAACATGAGCCACTCTTTCTTTCTTTTCAGTGTACAGCATCCTTGGTGTTGAAGCAGTCTCATAATGAGCTATCAAGTCATCCATCTGTGTCTCACCATATTCTTTCAGCTCATCCATTTTGTCAGTTCCAGGCACACAAGTCCAGCCAAATATCCTTGCACTCTTCAAAACTTTATCTTCTGATGTGCCAGAAAATCTTTCTTCCAAGCACAGCATCAGCTTATCCAACGCATCTTTCACTGTTTGTTTGTAATCATCACACTTGCGCTTTCTCTCACATCAGCAGTCTTCTTTTTCATCCAGAGCTTTTTTCAGACACTGCTGAGGTTTGGTTATCATTGATGTGAGTGCGTTTGCACTAGCCATGACAAAATGGACAATATTGCCAAGCTGAGCAGTGACTCACTGAAACTTTGATGAGATTTGAGACAAGTCTGACAGGATGTCTTCATAGCCAGCCCCCCCCCCCCCCCCTCTCCCATGAGAGTATCTTAAAAATTTTAAAAATCAATAATCCCCAGCCATTCCGGAGTCCCATACTTCACAACGCTCAGACTTTGAATGAACTTTAGTGACCTTAACAACCGTTGCTCACACGATGCCGTATCTTGATGCGAAAGCGCAGGTTCACTGACCAGTCACGGTGGCGAACCCAACAAGACGCTTTTATAACTTTCTTTTCTTTTTTTTTCACAAGTGACAGCACAAGTCACATTTTTTAAAAACAAAACACAAGGGCACTGAAAAAATTGCCGCGGTTCACCCTTCGATTTTAAGGGCATTACGGCAAACTGCAAAGGCACCAAGGCAAATTGCCGCGGTCTATTTCAAGCCCTGCACTGGATCTGGTCATGGTAACGGTGTTATTGCACAGCGCTACATCCAACAGGTACTGGCACCTGTGATCTTAGATCTGCCTCATTTCCAGCAATACCCCAACCTTATCCTGCAGCTGGCCAATATTTAACCCCATACTGCAAGAGCTACAGCAGCCTTCTTAGAGCAGAACAATGTCAGGGTGCTGTCATTGCCATCAATGAGCCCAGACCCCAACCCGATCGAACACTATTGGGACCACATCCAAAGAGAACTGAATTGTTTGTAGCCAAGACAAACAACAGCACCTCAGCTGCAGTGAACCATCACACAATTTGGTGCAAATGTGATTATCGCCATCATCCACAGACTTGTGAGCTCAACGCCAAAAAAGATGCCAAGCTGTTGTGAGCGCAAACGGCGGGCCCACACGCTATTGACTCAAATACTATTGACTAGAGTTGGCGCGAGCGGACGGACGGGTTCGTTACTCGCAGACTCAGTCTGAGCTAGCGGGTAACGGACAGCAATGCGAGCGGACTGCGAACCTCAAGACAGTTCGTTTTTGGGCCCGCTCCACAATTTTACTTACTCTCTCAGCGAGCGGACAGCGGACCTCAAGCCAGTTTGTTTTTTGGGTCTGCTCCACAATTTTATGCACTGAGCGGGCGGGCGAATGGACGAACTCTTGCAGACGAAATACTCCACACGAGGTTAGGCCCGTCTTCTATTGTTTGTTAATTAGGCCTGATGTTTCAAACCACTAGCAGTGCCACAGGGTGTGAGAGAGGCTGGTGACATAGTACTATGAGAGTAACCTTTCACCTCGTGTGGGGTCACACTCTGTACATTGTAATTATCACGAAGGCGAAGTTTAAAATATTGCCAAGGGCCTTTCTTTTGAAAGGGGGATAGAGAAATTTCCGCCATGAACGTCTAGCTAATGTGGGGCAGGAGGGTGTAAGTAGTATGCAAAGGAAGGACTCGCTCCCTGTCCATCCGTCCGCCTGCTCAAATGAATGGAGTCTCTCGGCCCGTCCACCTGCTTGCTGAACGAACTGTTGTCTCTGTCCGATGTAGCAAACTACTCTTCACAAGCGGACGGTTCGTTACCCGTCCTCTCGTTTGCGGGTAGTGCCAGCGAGTAGTTCGTTACTCGCGGACGCAGATTTAGCGAGCTCGATCCAACTCTACCATTGACATCACCAACATTTGGACATAACCCTTTCACTCCAGTACATCATTTTCCCCAGCAAATTCAACTTGTTTTCTCTACAACGGGACTCTTAATCCTTACAGAGGAATCGTCTTCAATAAATGTGACCAAAAATCAATAAAATCACAAATTACTTACCATTGTCTTTATCTTCCTTTACTTTGTATATCACGTGTGTTTCTTTTGTTGTTGAGTATAGATAGCCTGAACATCTGGGCAACTAACAATACAATGAATAACAACTCATTCTTTAGGGCCTCAAATGAAAGAGAAGGATGGAGAATGATAGCCACTAATGCTCTTGACAAGACACTTGATGATGATTACTCTGATAAAAAGCAAGAGAATAAACTGGAACAACACGAGCAGGCAAAATTCAGGATCTGTCAGTACTGCAGAGTAAACAGAAAAGACAGACATAGAGACAGACAACCCATACATCATATTGTACGCACAGACAGAAACTAACCTGGAAGGGCTTGGATATGTTGTCATTGGCCTCTAGAGCCAGTCTGCCGTATTCTGTAAACAGCTGGAACATGAAAAGAATAAACTTGTTTCAAAGGTTAAGCTTATTAATTCTTTCCTTTAGACGCAACAATTATCTCAATGGAATGTAATACCATACATTTCACACTAAGCCTGCACACCAAGCCAACATATTTTGGAGTGTTTTATCGACTACGGCTACTACTTACCTTATACAAACAATAACAGCAGATCATGTTTGTAAAAAGGCTTGATTTTGCGATTGTCAGAATGCAGTTAGAGATTTATTTTAAAAATACATGGGAAGGAAACTGGTCATTAAGGAAATATGAAAATCAGGATGTGTTGTCACAGAGATAAGTTTACTGAAAACAACATTCTTCCCTGGAAAAAGTAACAGTGAAGATACTCGCACTTGCCACGAATCTATTTCTAAAAAGATTAACATAAAATATACATATCACTGAAACACACTTGATGGTTCACAACACAAAACAGTTCAGCAAAGAAAAATTTCCCACTGGGACAATATTATAAAGTATCATCTTATATTATCTTATCTTATCTTAACTCTTTTCCTACCAAGCCAAAATCCACCTCTGGCCCTGGGCTTTTCCCTGACCTATTTTTACGCCCCTACCCCACCAAAGGAAAATGTCAAAACACCCAACTTAACAAACACAAACCATACTATATGGCCCATCAAACTGAAGGTTAAAAAGTAATCTATCAGATGGTGATACAATATTGAAGATTTATTCCAATTATATTAGTTTTGGGTTTCTAAAAGTGACTATGCAATATTGAAGGTGTCATATGAAATCAACAATTTTCCAGCTATGAAAGGTCATATCTAAAAAAGTACAACAACAGCATCATTCAAACTTCTCAAGTAGGTTGCCTCCAGTAATGCTGAAAGTCATGTATGTTTACCTAATATAGAAGTGAAAATATGAGACATATACTGAAGGGAGGGAAGCGCTTTTTTTTCTCATTTATATGTTTCGAAGGGAACAAAAAAGCTCTGAAATGACAAAAAATCGTCTCTCAGTGTTATATTTTCTTTCGTCACGGCGCACCGGTGGTGGAATTTTAGTGGCCACGGGTGGTTCCCCGCCGACCACCTTATCACGTCGGGGGCACGGGGTTCTGTCTGGACCGATTTAATTTTTGGTACTTTTTAACGTACAATTCTAGGTGTATCCTTGTATTTATGGTAATTCTCATATAGCCCACCCAAAGCCCGCATTTCTGCTCTTGAGACTCAAAAAAGAACGGACGTTGTAACTTGTCAGGTTATTCCGTTAGACGCGCTATATTTGACAATGCTAAATTGTAAATTTTTTTGGACTAGCGCGAATGAAAAAAAAAATCAATTAAAAAAAAAAGGCTCGACAAAATCTGTCGAACTTTTGGAACATGAACGACATAGCATCGGTGCAGATACTCAGAAAAGATGGTATCTGCGCAAATAATAGAAAGTTGTAATTTTGCAACTTTATCCATCGAGCACACAATTCGCTATGCAGTAATTCCTCCAAATACAACTTTATGTGTCTAATATAATTGTGAATATTCGCATATTTTCTCGAACGTTTATAAAAGTTACCCTGAAGTTTCTCCATGAAAAGTACGAATCGATTCTAGTGCCAGAATACATCTTCAATGTAATACAAGACCAGTATCTGTTACCCTCCAGAAATTCCTTACTTTTCTTAAAACGCTAAGTCTAGGTTTTGTAAGTTGACTGAATAATAGGGATGACTTCTCGTAATTGGGTTATAAGAATATTTTATAGCTTTCCAGTGACACTGAATCAGCACCAGACTTTTCCAGCTTTAATTTTCGCTTCTATGACCATTTGCAATAACTGACAATGTTCTGATTTCTTTTCATTCAAAATTGCGTCCGTGCATATTTCCTACACAAAAACTGAGAATGAATGTGTTAGCTGTCATTATTTTTTTTCCATACAAGAAGTTTATCTCTACCCATGTATTTACACGGTTTTGTGGGTTTTTTAAAATCGCTAAAATTATATCTTTTTTAGCTGTATGCAGGCTGCCACAGACACAGCATGATTCATGAATAAACGAAGAGTAACTTTCTCTTGTTTCCTAGTAAAATAAGAGCTAACGCTGATCGTCTTTAGCTAAAAAATGCAAAATGCAAATGTGCATCTTTTTTCTCTTATAATTTGACTATTACTACTCGTGCAGATTTAAGATTTCTCATGGTAAAAGACATGATATTCGTAGTAAGTTTAACACAGATTTTGGAGAGATGTCGTGCCTTTTTTAAATTAACAATCATTTATACATAAGTTTGTAACTAAAATATGTCAAATTGGGTACTCTACAAACACTTGTCTAAAACAAAAAGCAAGGCACAGAAATTAACCATTCTAACGAAGAATAAATCTTAAGACATTGAGCTTTTAGTACATCCGCGTAACGGTTTGCTGTGTGGGATGGGGAAGAAGTTATATCGTTTTAAACAGACAAAAATGCGAACTTCCTAACCGACACCGGTAAAGTTGCTTCAGGGCTCATTAACCCCGTGACCCCGAGCCGGGGAGCCCCGGCGGGCTGCTGAGTCACGCTAACTAAAGGCAACAGAATTCCGCGAAAAGTGACGCCGTGCCGTATCTGCTAACAGAAGTATATTCTATTCTTTTGAAAACGTGGATTGGACGATAATTTCGTGTCTTTACATTACTGGATTGGAAGAGATAGCGAGCCACTCGAGACGTATTTTTCGGCTCTCGGTCCAGCGAGGCCACGTCCGCGAGCCGATGCGGCTCGTGGTAGGGAAAGTGTTAATAGAAGAAACAAAAAAATCCGGCCAAACCTGCAAGTGCTGCAAATCATCTTCTTGAATATTCTGTGTAAGGTTGAACACCTGTGGGCAGAAATAAAGATATTGTCAGAGTTTCATCTGAGTAGGTACATGTCTAGATAAAATTCCTAGAAAATTAAACAAAGCAGTAACTTGTCAAAGCAACATGAGCAACAAAGAAGTTACGGAGTCATGAAAAGTAACCCTTGTCATACAAACCCAAAAGCCATCAACCCCCCTCCACCTTTTAAAGCTTAGTTTTAAAAAGAGTTTAACGGCACTTGTACACAAATAAATCACACAACTGCTGAAAATAAGAGGGGGTACAAGAAAGTAATACATGTACATACAGAAAAAGGAGGACGGATAAGAACGGCAGATAATATTCAACTGCCGAGGGGAGTCCCAATGACCTGTCAAGATTTCTACAAGATATTTGACAGTACCTACAAAAGATAAACTTGCATTTCTTTTATGAAAATGGACAGACATAAAACCATGACCGGTCTGGAATTCAGGAAATTTCTTGTGAAGCCACTGCCCTTAGACTATCTATATCCAGTGTAAAAGATGACGAAATTTTGTACCCCCTTTTCTGTTTGAACAGGCAGATGACATTCCCAACTGAGGGCGGTGGTGCTGGTGGGGGAGAGGATTGCTCCTGAAAGCTGTTTTCCTTTCTTATGGGACTGATTTTATAGTTTTAATTTTACATGGACACTGAACCTGACAAGGAAAATTGATTCAACTATTTTGGAAGCCTTCAGCCTTAGAAAGCCATGAATATGATGTCATACTGTAAATCGGGTCACAAAAATGCACCAAAAATAATAGAATACACATACTCTATACAGAACAGTTTGTATGATAGCGAATTGGTGTGGCAAAGTTTTTTTAAAAGTCATATGTGACAAAAGAAGAAGACGTTTTTCATGAAAAATCTAGAAAATTATGAAAAACACATTGAAAACAAGTCAAGTATCACTAGACATGGTCTGCTCATATCTGAGACTGTAAAAAAAAAAAAAAAAAGGGGGGGGGGGGGGGGGAAAGCTAACCAGAATGCAATGACAACTGCAACCTCTTATAAAAACAAACATTCCCAAAACCCAATCTATGCAAACTAAGATGTAAAACTGCACCCAAGCAATGCCAACAGACATTCACAAAAAGGGTGTTCTAGTAAGGTTTGGGTGACACTTTGCAAAGAACCTTTGGACACAATGACAGGGACAGTGGGCAATGGAAAACCTAAATGGTAGACACAATGGCAACAAAGTATCATCAGAAAGTATCAGCTTCAAGCTGAGCTTCCACACTACATGTTCTTGCATATGAAATTTTAATAGGAAGATGTATCAACAACACCTTTTGTTTTATCTTTAAAAAAAAATTAATCAAAAGGTTTTTTTAAATTCCCTTGCAAAAATATTTCTACAGTAACTATATAAAAAAGAATATCCCCCCCCCCCCCCACAATTCCCAACTGATATCTTCCATTTTCAGCTCTGTGGCTTGGAACTCATTCTGTAGTGTCTCTTGCTAAAAGGATAGCTATGTAATTACATCTTGCACATTTATATCATATAACAGTGGTAACCATTACAGCTGTTGCCCGCCATACACTCCTTGCAACAGTCACTTTACAGAGGAGTAATAAAGCAGTCGCTCTCATTGTATGTAACCTAATTCAGGGATCAGTTGTGGATAACTGAAAGCTATGAATTTGGAATAATGCAGCACTCTGATAATGACTGACATTACAAATGATCCATGACATATATTACTGGCAAGCTATTTGACTGTTCTAAGCCTAAAAAGCAAAATATTTCAGGACAGAACAAAAAAATAAAACAACCTTTCATTCTTTTAAAATGTGTATACATTATGTATCATTTTCTGCTTGTCTTCTTTTTTCTCAACATTTAGTATTTGAATTTGAACAGAATATTTCTCGAGCACACGCAATTGATGCCTCAGATTAAGTAACAACAATAAAAAAAGATTCCAAATCATGTCTGCACAGCTAGCTGACGATTTGCGGATAAACTGAGGACAGCTGACAGACATGCTGAGACATTTCAGTGACCCATGTTCAGCAGTTTTCAAGGACCCCCTGAGCAAGTGCTGAGTTCCTGAGAGCTCTCGGTACCACTGACTGCTTAAGACGCTAAAGCGCCAGGAGGGAGGGAGGGAGGGAAG